AACGTGGGATCCCCTTGTGTTTATATATATATATATATATATATATATATATATATATATATATGTTTAATTATTGCGCAGACATTGTTAGTCATTTGTCCCAGTTTTGTAGGTAATCCCACAGAAAACTGTAAGCACTCTCAAGTGCGCCACACGCTGGACAAATTTACAGGAATTTTATAGTAAAAACAATAGTTGTGAAATATTGCAATTTAAAATAACTGTTTTCTAAGTGAATATATAATACAATGTAATTTATTTCTGCGATGTAAAGCTGAATTTTCAGCATCATTCCTCCAGTCTTCAGTGTCACATGATCTTCAGAAATCATTCTGATATGCTGATTTGCTGCAGTTTTCTTTTAGTATCATTATTAACTATTGTAGTTTTTATTAATAGTTCGAATTGGTTTTCATTTTGATATTTTCTGTTTTCATTTTAATTTTAGTAAAAGGTTCAGTAATTTAGTTTTTGACAGTTTTATTAGTTTTTTTAAATGTCTATAATTGTAATTATTTTTTATTTATTTATTTTTGTTAACTAAATGTTTAATTTTTGTTTTAGTTAAACTAAACAGATTTTCCTGGCAACTAGTTGAAATAAAATTTAATGTTTATTTTATTTCAAGTATGAAAAAATGATTTTTTAAATGGTTTTAGTTAACTATAATAGCCCTGATTTGCTCTTACTATTATCAGTTTAAAATTTGTTGCTGCTTAATATTATTGTGGAAATGTTTTTTTTTTTTCAGGATTTTTTGATAAAACAAAAGGTTCGAAAGAACAGCATTTATTTGAAATAGAAATATTTTGATGCATTATAAACATCTTAACTGTCTCTTTTGATACATTTAATGCATCCCTACTAAATAAATGTAGTTTTTACGGCACCCAAATTTGTATTTAAAACAAGAATACCAGAATATGAAACACCAGTCAACAGCTGTGAGTTAAATACAGTACAGTTGCTTTATTCATAATTTCATCTGACTAGTTGTTTATATTACAGTTTATATGAGTTACAGTCTAAACAAAAGCATTATCAATCCCATGCATCCTGCACGAAATTCACAGTCAGATCCAAAGAAAACAGAGCAAGACAAACCCGCCGTGATCATCACACACTTTCACATTAGTAGGCATTCAGGTGTGAAACAGCGGAGCGAGAGGAAGCGCCCTCAGGTGGAGCGGATGAGGATCTGCGTCAGCCGTAGCATCGATCCTTCAGTTCTCCTCCAAAGCAAAGTACAGCAGCTACAGGACGTCCCAGAACACTTTACAACATTTTTACCGCGGTAAAACACGATGCACTGCCACAGACCCTCTAAAAACACATATCGACACACACAAACAGTTAAGGAAAGCAGGAGAGATGGAGAAGCGAAGACCTTCCGGGATGCAGTTTGTCTGTGTCTGTAATTAAATGTAATGGAGTTTCCAGCGGGAGGTGGGCGGGGCTAGAGGGGGCAGTGATTGACAGCTTCACTATTCAATCAGCTTCTGCACAAAAGAATCCAGCTGGTCTTCATCTTTGATGCCCACGAACTGGTCGATGACATCACCGCCGCGCATGGCGATCACCGTGGGAACCGCCGACACCTACAGCACATCAGGAACAATCAGCATCCCATAATAAACGGAGGGATCTGCTGAGATTTGCTGTCTGATTATTTGGCGTCCCAGAACGACGTATGAGTAACTGACGTAATTTTATTTATGTCAATAAAACTATATGTCTATATAGTTTTTATTCATTCATTATTTTATACACTTTTAGTTGTAGTTATTTTAATACTAGTTAAACTAAATGAAAATGAGAAATATTGTCTTGGCAACTAGCTGAAATAATAAGTTCTTGAAATTTTATTTCACGTTATACACACACACTCACACTAACACACACTCACACTCTCTCACACACACACACACACACACACACACACACACGCGCACACACACACACACATATTGAAATTAGTATTTATTTAGGTTTTTATTATAATTATATTTTAAAATTTAGTTAAAATTGAGTAATTTTGTTGTGTGATTTTGTCATTTGTATTATTTTTTTAATATATGTCTATACAGTTTTGATTTTAGTTATAAAATTGAGTTTGTTATAGTATTTCATATTAAACTAAATGAAAATGAGAAATGAGCTGAAATAAGTTTTAAATTATTTTTTTAGTTTTATGTGTGTTTTATTTTTTGCTGAAGCATGTCGTTCAAATGCCGTTTATAATCATATTTCATGAGATCAGCAGAAGTTATAGAAGCTAGTTAACAGAGGAAGTGAAGTATAAAGCTGAAACGTTCATGCTGAGGGTCTTTTTCGAGAGCGATGATTCAAAGGAATCAAATGGAACTGGATGAGAGTTTTCCCCAACATTTACCACAAGATAAAACCCATCACAGGGCTTCAGCCTCATTAATATTCAGCTGAAAGTTGTACAAATGACTGATGGGTATTTTTAAGATCTTGTATGTTTGTTTATGTCTAAAAAGCAATGCTGGTCTTGTATTTTTTTGTAATATTTATATAATATTATAGATTTTTTAAATAATTTCAATAAACTTTTAATTTTATGTTTTCCATTTAATTTTCATTTTAGTTTAATTTACTGCAATTTTGATGTGTGCTTTTGTCATCTGTATTAGTTTCTGGCGTTTTTAAATATTACCATTTAGGTTTAATTTTTTTTTCAGTTTTAGTTTTTATTTATTTCCACTAATTTTAGTGCAAAAACACAAATAACAATGACAAAAACACACAATAAAATTCAGGTCAAATTTAATCCAGTTAATTGCCAAAACAACATTTCTCAGTTTTGTTTAGTTTGAGTTTTTCTATAGTATTAACAAATCTGTTTTTAATAATTGTAGTTGACAGGCCTGTGTCGTACCCCGTACTCGATGGCGAGGTCTGTGTGTTCATCGATGTCGACTTTGGCCATAGCGACTCGACCCTTCTGCTTGGCGATGGCCTTCTCCAGCCGCGGGCCGAGGATCTTACAGGGACCACACCACCTGCAACACAAACACACGGCTGATTCAGTCTCACTGCAGCTGCGTCCCAAGAAAACCCACTGCAGAACTACAGAGGACTACAATCCCACTGCAGCACTACAGAGGACTACAATCCCACTGCAGCACTACAGAGGACTACAACCCCACTGCAGCACTACAGAGGACTACAATCCCACTGCTGTGAACTCTGAGCCACAACAGACATGAGTGCACCTGTGCACATGTGAATCATTCGTTTTATTTGACATTTTTCAATCTTGAGTCTTGAATTATTATTTTGATTCATAAATATGATCAATTATTAATTTATAAATATAAGTGTTATTTTATGACGCACCACATGACATTTTACAATCTGAACAAACGGTGCCTTACTATAAAAAACATTTGATATCTCATACAGAAATGTAAAAAAAAAAAATGCTCATCATAGTGTATATTAAGTATTTTGAGTGATTTAACACTGTACAGCCTGACATATAGAAAAATAATTTGAAAACATTTTTTTTTTAATAATATTTAACAATTTATTGAAAATATATAAATGTCTAAAACTCTCTATGTGTTTTTTTTTTTTTGTTGAGTATCATATATTTGATACTTTTATGGCTCATATAGTGTGATAAAGTGAGAATATGGAGGAAAAACAGCTCAGTTTTATTCAGAGACTCAAACTGAGCAAAAATATGAATCTGCTGCTGATGCTGATATTTATATGATCAAAAAAAGATTAAATTCTGAGGCTTGTAATGTAAATCAGTGAGATCTTTCTAACAGTATAGAGCAGATACTGACATAAAATGCTATAAATATCAGTCGTCACTCTATATCTCCATTCTCAGTAAAATGAGATTGAAATGATCAGAACATATAATGCAGTGATTGAGAGATGAAGAAGTAAAGGCTCCTCAGAAGATGTGAGATGTTCTGGAGGCTCCGCTGAGGAACAGTGAAAGTGAAGCTTCTGGAAACAAACGCTCCTCAAAAGATCCTGAGGATCAGATTTGAGACTCTAATAAATGATTGATGGAGAATCAAGTAAAGCTGCGCTGCTTCAGTCTAGTAAGAGTTCATCTGGAAATATGACTGCAGTTATTCTGACCTTTACTTGATAAAAACCAGTCAAGATTTGACACGTGAAGCTCCAGCTGAAGCTGGACGTTTGTACAATCACACTAAAAGAGCTTTGACTGGATAAACACTCTCAATCAGAGACAGAAGGCATGCAGCAGACTGAGTTCTGATCATGTTGGTCATGTGCTTTAATGATGGCTGACTGTGATCAGCAGCAGTTTCTTGTACGTACTGCGCGTGGAAGTCGATGAGGACGGGCAGCTGGCTGTTGATGACTCTCTGGGTGAAGTCGTCGTGGTCCTGCACGCTAAACGACACGCTCGTGCAGGAGGCGTTCAGACGAGAGGAGAAGGACGAGGAGCAGGAGACGCCAGCCGGCACACCTCTGACAGAAACACCACACACCCTCCCCACCAGCAGCCTGAGAGCCATCTGACCCACAGAGACAGAGCATTATTACACTAAACACCAGCATCACCACAGTAGGGCTGTCAAAAAAAAATTCGAATTTCGAATATTCGTCGAATTTAAAATAAAAATCCGCATTCGAATTTTAGGTGTGCGTTAAGGAGGCAGCCTTATCAGCGGCGCACGAGATGTGATGACGATGTGTCGCTGCATAATGTTTTTGTTAGCCTGTCCAGTTGAAGCCACTAGATGCGGCGCTGCTGCGTTGTTAATTACAAATATTGTGGAAAAAGAGACCATCAATGCGGAGAAGATCTTGTTTACATCAAAACTGAAACCAAGCCGTTCACACAGAACACTTTCATGCATTTTCTAGAGGGACATCTATCACAGTTGCACTCGCGTCTCGCACAAAAGAGCCGCATGTTTAGAAAGCCGTGTAAAATTAATGCAAGTTTAACTTAGAAAAAAAACATATATAGAGACTTTATGGCGGGTTTTTTTCATCTCATGTTTTTAAATGAAAAATGTACTCTGTGTGGTTGGCTTTCCGCCCTTTGTATTAAACTATACATACATACATGATGCCATTCGAATTTAGATTTTCAGCCATTTTGACAGCCCTACACCACATCAGATGAGTCTGATCCAGACAGTTCATGCTCAGTTTAATCTGTGTTTGCCTTCCTGCTGTGTAACTGATGCAGTTTATTTACAATAAATCAGATATATGCTTGACATGAGCATACATATCATGCAGTTACTCTCAGTTTATAACATTTGCTCCATCGAAATATATTTGCACTTTCCATGTTAAAAACACTTCACCCAAAATAATAATTTCAATTAAATGTATCCTGTGCTGTGACCAATGTATTTGTAAAAGTACAAATAATAATAAATAAATAAATAAAACTGCATGAATGTAAAATAATTAGGATAAAATTGTGTTTAAATCACTTTTAGACTTATATTCTGTTTTGTTTTACACTATTTAAACATAATTTAATGCTAATTATCTTTTATGATTATCATACATGCCATTTTATTATTATTACATTAATATTTATACTTTTTAAAATATTAATTTACTTTATAAATATTCATTATGTATGTGTGCATTTATATATATATATATATATATATATATATGTGTGTGTGTGTGTGTGTGTGTGTTTTATTACTATCACTTTTTATATTTATATAAACATTAATATAATATATAATCTAAATGACTTTGTAATTACCATACTTGAAGTTTTATTATTACACTTGTTATATTTATTTTTACTTATAAACATTCACTCTCTCTCTCTATATATATATATATATTACATTTATTAAAACACCATTTTCTGCTAATTCTTTCATAATGATCATACATTTATTTTGCACAAATATAATGTTTAAAGGTACAACACATTTTTGTGGCGCTACTAAACATTACACGCTACTAATTTGTTTAAATAGCAAATTACTTTATATATAATTGTAATTCAGTGTGTTTTGCACAAAAATAATACAAATAAAAAAATAAGCAAATATAATTTAAACGTCACTGAATGTAAAAATCATGAGTGTTATGAAACACAGTTTCCAGTCTCTATAAGATCATCCCCCGGGTTCACAGACAAGACTTAAACCTAATCCCAGACTAAAATCTAAGTCTGAGCTGTTTCAACTGAAAGAAACTTGCTCTGAATGATTTTAAAATATATCAGTGCCTTTATTTTGTCTCAAAATGCACACCAGCATGGCCGGACTTACCATTGGGCTTGAGTGGACTGCAGCCCATGGGCCCCGCCTTGTAGGGGGCCCCGCCTTTGTCCGTTTACGTTTGTTTGATTTGTTCGTTATATGCCAGTCAGAATTCAGAAATTATTAGCCGCATTTCCACTAAATGGGCCAGCCGGGGCTACAGATTACAACTACGACCTTCGAGGCCACAATCAAACAGCATAAACTGGTATTTATGATTATTTCACAGAAGAAGGGCACACGTATTGAATCGCATCTGCACCAACTGGTTTGTTATCACATGACTACTTTAAACAGCTCCATTAAGCCTTTGGCCCCAAAGAGCTCACATTTAGAAAGATCATGATAAATTCTCAAATGTTCACACCTCATTTCTTTACAGAGGATGATTCTACATTACTATATTAGTGTTCCACTAAATTATGCGATCATCTGATGAGTTTTGAGCGCTCTCTCTCGTCTTACTGCCATAGTGGGGAAGAAATGTCATCAAAATGATTTTAAATAAGAAATAGCAATTTAATGATTTTCTGTTTTTCTAGCTATGCCTATGATATAGGACTTAGCTAGGGTGACCAGACGTCCCGTTGTTCCTGGGACAGTCCCGTATTTCAGCTCTTTTTTAGTGTCCCGACTTATTTTGAAAAAATCATGTTTTGTCCCGTATTTCAAAATTTCTTTAAGACTGGGTGATCAGAGCGAGTAGTAGAAGTGTTCTGTCATGAGAGAACAGCCTAATCAAATGTAAGTAAGCTTGTCGTAGAACCAGATTACCATCCAATCACAATTCGTTATCGATTAACTTGCAGTAAGTGAAGGCGGGTATAGGCGGAATCACGCAGACACACAGAAGCGCTATCTCGGCCGCGCGATCCCAGTTCTGCGATCAGTTCTGCCTGCGCCTTGATTGTTAAATACACACACAGCTGTCAAAATGTCAATCGTGTGGAGTTTCTCACGTAAATACAGTCGGTTATGGCTTAAGTTAACGTAAACAGGTGGGTGAAAACCCAGTATATTACCGTATTGGCCCGGGGAAGTCGTGGCCTAATGGTTAGAGAGTCGGACTCATAACCCAAAGGTTGTGGGTTCGAGTCTCGTACCGGCAAGGATTGTAGGTGGGGGGAGTGAATAACCAGCGCTCTCTCCCACCTTCAATACCACGACTGAGGTGCCCTTCAGCAAGGCACCGAACCCCCAACTGCTCCCCGGGCGCCGCAGCATAAATGGCTGCCCACTGCTCCGGGTGTGTGTTCATGGTTTGTGTGTGTTCACTGCTGTGTGTGTGTGTGCACTTTGGATGGGTAAATGCAGAGCACTAATTCCGAGTATGGGTCACCATACTCGGCCACATGTCACGTCATGTCATGTACGACCACCCTGATTATAAAACGACCCCCCTTTTTCCAGATGTACCTTTTGTAAAACACATTTTGTCTTCAAAATGACTTGACTTTGCATATTTTTCCTATTTTAATTTTTGTTTTGAAAGTATGGTAGAAACTGGTAAAATGTACCAACAATCACATTTAAAAAATATACACTTTTTGATATATCATAAAAAAAAAAAAAAAAAAACATCGTCTTATATTCAGGTCAATACGGTAAATTCATTCGGTCTTAAACGGACAGCAGCCTAATTAAATACCTTTCTGTCTAATTCAGTGTTTCTCAACCAGGGGTCCGTGGACCTCTAGTGGTCCTTGACGTAAGGCCAGGGGGTCCATATAAAGTATGAATTTTTGTATAAATTTTG